GATAGATAGATAGATAGATAGATAGATAGATAGATAGATAGATAGATAGATAGATAGATAGATAGATAGATAGATAGATAGATAGATAGATAGATGGCATGAGTCTAAAATGAAGACACTTAAAGTTCATTGATTGTGGTCACGGCTGATGGCCCTCTATAGCCATCTATTACTTATGTATGCTGAGATCAAGACTTCCTTCCCCTCCTCCTTTTTTATCTCTTCATCAGAGATGACTGCACCAACTACACCTGCAACATTTTATGCTGCCAAGGGCAAAGTTTTAATGAATGCCTCCAACTTTATATCAACAGGGGCTGATCAAAGTAAACAAATCATGTAAGCATAGCCTCACTCACCCTAACACGTTGTTTGTAATTTGATGGACAAATCTGACTAGTAATCATCAAATTTCTGTAAGACTAAGTAGTCAGACACACTGACACCATATGTAATTGTAAAAACACTACAGTGTAAGGGTTTTAGCATGGTTAAAATTTGTTTATTTTGTTGTTAATGGTGGTAACTGAAACTAATTTTATTTAACTACGTTAAATAAAAATACACCTGTAAATGTAATCCCTTTTCATAAAATATTGGTGTAGGTAGTCATCCGGGACATGGCAACTCCTACAATTTTGTTTTTACTAAGACAACTGCTCTTACACAATGAGTTACTCAATGATAAAGCTCTGTATCTGTTGTATAATGCAATAATTGTTCCACACTTAATCTATTATATTGAAGTCTGGGGGAAAGCATGCAAAACATTTACAAATCCTTTTCTTGTTTTACAGAAAAGAGCTGTAAGAATTATCACTAGCAAACATTACAGTAACCCGTCAAATTTATTAGTTTATCAATTGAAATTATTGAAGTTCCATGAGTTGGTTGATAATATTGTACAGATTATGTATAGGGATCACAAATGCATATTGCCTTTATACAACCAATTAAAATTTGTTAAGGCAGAATTTATTTCCTGCTGGAGACACTGAACAGCTCGAGTGTAAGAATTAACATAAAAAAGAATTATATTCATTACAGTATATTTATACAGTGCCGGTTCACAACACATTGTTTTAGGTACTTTTCAAAGAATGAAGTATTGAATAATGTACAACGCAATGCAGTTCAATATTTGTCCAGATTTAAATCTCATCACTTACAGTCATTTCAGTCTAATTATAATGCAGCAGATTCAATGTCAGTAAATTTAAAAAGGCTTTATTAAAAAATATATATTCAATAAAACTAAACAATAGCATCAAACCTACACTTGTTCCTGACCACTAACAGAACCAGGACCAGGATGGGCAGCCACCTGCTTCAACCAGCTGTTTGGGCCGACAAAGATAAATACAGGAGTTCTGGGCCAGGTAAAGTTTCTATGGGAAGAGAAATGAAAAGCACAAAGTTCATAGCAGCAATAATTGCAAACATAAAAGCAATGTCAGGCTGTAACATTTTAGACAAATTATGCCAACTTACGAAAATTACGTCCACAAAAGATGTCAGTGTTAAAGATGGAATTTTTAAATCTAATGGAACCCTTTTTTGTACATACTGTAATCCTAATTGATTAGATTAAATAAATAACCTACATGAGTAATTTGGTCATAACAAGTCAGCATAAGTTGTTAAACATTATAGAGTGACAGGGCCTTAAATATGGAGAGTAAAGTAAACAGAGTAGAGAATTGTGATGACTTTGCCCTTCAGTAATCTGATGCTATAGAACCTGTTCAGCGTATATTGGAGCATCACGACACAATTTCTTTCAAGTTAGTGGAACACCAGTTTTCTAGCTTTAATTATGCTTGTTTAAAAGTGTGTAACTCAGAAAACCAAGAAGCCAGCCTCCTTCAAACAATTACCTTTTTCAAAAGGGCAACTTTGTCAAGTGATTTATGCATCAGACTTGTTACATAGTATCTGCACACTAGCTTATGGTTTCAGTCACTGTTTTTGAGCACTAAACAAAACTGAACAAAAGAACGTTTAAAATGCTGAAAAATATCATGCTTATTTTGTAAACTGAGGATTTCTACAACTCCAAATACTCAAAACCAATCATCTCCTTTATTGGTAATATATGGAAGTAAAAAGTAGCTCAGTGAAAGAAGATTCACTAGAAGCAATGGGTATTGCTTGTTGCCTTGCAAGACAAAGTTTTAGATAAAAATTTCACGTGAGCCTTGTTTCCGTCAACCTTTTTTATGTGCATTTTGAAGTATCACATTAGGAAAGGTGGATGGAAATGGGAAAATTTACAAAAACTTAATCAATTTTGCAAAAACGTTTTCACGCTCGATTGAGGTGGTTTTTGGATTTTCAAAAAAAAAAAAAGTTAATGCCCAAAAGGGGAGATGGAAACACATTTGCCGAATAAGTTCTGACGTAGTGAACATTTACCTCGATCTGCTGTCCCTGCTGTCCAACAATTGTATCAGGTGAAGAGAATTGCATTTCTTTTTCTATGTCTCCAGACAGCACATAACACCATCAATACTAATTGATATGGAATTATTACAACTTTTCTGATAGCAGCAACATAACTTCTGATAACCTCTCTCCATTTGTGTCTAGCTTTCATTGCAGTAGACAATAAATCAACTAAGTGGCCAAACAGTGTTTAGAGCCAAACAGATGTGTGTTGTTGCTAAAGGTTAACATTTGATGTGTTCACTATGCTCAGTAGTGAATAAAATATGGGTTTATTAGATTTGCAAATCATTGCATTCTGTTTTTATTTACACAATGTCCTAACTTCTTTTAGATTTGAGGTTGTAAATGATAATCAAAGCAGTCTTTGTCAGCTGTCTTCTCATCAAATCAGCCAATTGCCACCAGTAAGGCTTGGTTATCACAAAGGGAGGAGTAAGCAGAATAGGTGGGATGTTGGAATGATATAAAATGAAGTTAAAGAATGAAATAGGACAAGAAATCTTAACTGTAAATGCTGCAATGCAAAACTGTCAGCCCAAGCATCTGTTTCAGTGGTGGGACAAAGGGAGAAAGAAATTGAAAGAGAAGGCCGATCAATACAGTAAAAAGCTGTGAGGTTAGAGAATAGACTGGATACGAGAAGACATTCAACAAGGTCACCAACGATGAAGAGAGTGGGAGAAGGGAGCAGAGAGATGCTGGGCAAGCGCTATGTATCAGGTACAAACACAAAGCCAGAAAAAGAAAAGAATAGGTAATAGTTTTTTTAATGCAGAAGAAAATTGAAACGGCAGCTATCAAGGTCTATAAATTACAAACTGCATTATGACTCAACAAGACTGAGGTGCTTGACCGTAAGAGCATACTCACACAAACCCACACCTTACCACTGCTCCTTCACACTAATCAGCCTTTTGATCCCGGCTGAATAGATACAAGTCTATAAAGCTATGATCCTGTCATGTGCTCAACAAAGTACTTAACCATCTGAGTCATGGATAAATGTGATAAAGAAAGAGCATGTAGGGAGTGCAGCAAGTGGACAAAAATGCCAAATACCTTTCTATCAAATCCACACATCTGCACAGTTAAACTAGAAAATGTCTGAACATTTTTAAATGGAGTTATTGCAGCTGCTGCCTGAAAGTCCAACATACATTAACTTTCTTCTCTAGAGCCCAATACTACTTTGGTTCTGTCATAATCTAATATGACTAAATGCCAACGTACACCATGGTAAACATACACTTCCAACATAGCAAAATTAATCTGGCCCAGTTCTGGCCCACATGTCTACACAGCCCCTTCTCCATTAGCACGGCTCTACTCAGTTCGGGTCTGTTCGGTTTTGTTCAGTTCTGCTTCTGAAGAGTTTGCTCGTTTCTGTTTCCTGATTGGTTTTCTGCCTGATCGTACGCACCTGTGAGGGGTGAGCTGATCGTTGATCTACAGTATATTACTGTATTGGACATCGCCTATAGCCGCTATAGCTAGCGATGCGCCGTCATAGGAGCCATTGCTATGCATTAAGTCATGTCAACAAAACGGTAGCGTTTCAATGTGGGATGCGCGTCAATCTGTCACAAAAATATTCACAGTATCCTCATTTCTTATCCGATTTCTATAAAATATGGCTTAAATTAAAGCTGAGAAAATTGCGGATGTTGTGATATGTAAAAATATGTATTTGCTTAAGAGATAAATCTACAAGCAGTCTGGGAACTTTTCATTATAGGTTTTTGCTAACGTATTCACAGTGGAAGCCCCTTTCCGTCACATAAAACTAAGAGTCATGTGTGTCATATATATATATATATATATATATATATATATATATATATATATATATATATATATATATATATATATATTTATACATACATATATATATATATATATATATATATATATATATACTGTATACATAATTCTAATTTTGCATTTGTTTCTTGGTTCTTCATTCGTGCTGAAGTGCCTAAAGAAAAATTCCTCCAGCTGGTCATAAGATACGTCCACCGCTTAGCTTATGAAATGTACGGTGGAGGAAAAATAAGTTACAGAGATTTTTACTCATGTAATTTACAAGATATACCATATACTGACTGGACAGAACATCAGTACCAGTAATATCTACACAGTTCAGCCTAGTAGTAGTAAAGGTAATTTTACTGTTGCTCATTATATTTACCTCTCACAATGTTATCATAACATAACAATATTAATAAAAAATATAATAATTTGTTGGAACAGCAAATTTGTCTTTTCGTTGGTTTACTCGACGTAAGGTTGTCAAAATCAAGCTAGCATAACTGACCTACTTTCCGCAACTCCGACATTTTTTAAAATAAAAATATTCTAATGAGCTGTGAAATGTGATAACCTTGATCTTGTGATCTTGTTGTTGTAGTGTTGACAATTTCTGGCAAAATATTGCATCCCTTTTTGATATCCCTTGCATGACTGTCTGCTGCATCCCCTTTTTACCACCATTCATGGATGTTCCCGAGTCAAAACTCAATGCATACCAATGGCACCTGTGTGGTGCATGATAAGTCACGTGATGTCCAATCCAGTAATATAGATCAACGGAGCTGATGAGCTGCTGGGCTTTATAAGGCACCTCCACTGACTGGTCTACGCTGATGCATCTTACCTCTCTGGTAGTCTACAAGCCGCCTTTAAGTCTCATGTTAAGAATCTCTGAATTTACCTGTTGCTCAAGGTGAACATTCTGGTCAACAGAACCTTCCAGTCTGCCAGCTCGCTGCCCAGTGAATTCTCCCTACCAAGAACACAATCAAGGGACCAATCATCAGGACTAAGTCTCAAGTTCATCTACCTACCTTGGCCACTCTGCCTGAAGAACTCTTACCTGTTTGGATACCCTCCTCCAGTCCATGCTGCTCACCTCTGAAGAACCTGTAAGGATAAGACATAGTATCTTTTCATTTTTGGAAGAATACAGTTTGAGAATGTATACTCATCTCTGCACTTCACTCCATTTTCAGGAAGACGTCCAGAAATCTCCACCTGTAAATAAAATCACGTACCTTATTTTACCTGGCTTCTTGGTCTGGTTTCTTAGCTCTGTTGCTCTGTTGAACTCTCAAACCTTTGTAAATGATTGAATGTTATCCAGTGTTTTGTTTCTGATTATTGCAGCCTTAAGATTTAAAAACAGTCAGTGAGAGAGAGAGAGAGAGAGAGAGAGAGAGAGAGAGAGAGAGAGAGAGAGAGAGAGTGAGAGAGTGAGTGAGTGAGTGAGTGAGTGAGTGAGTGAGTGAGTGAGTGAGTGAGTGAGTGAGT